GCCCCCATGTTGACGTCAGGAATCATTCTCCATTGCTTTCCCCTCAGTTATTGAGGCAGTGTCTCCTGATGAAATCCAGAGCTTGCCAATATGTGTAGTCTTACTGACCTGCTTGCTCTAGGGATCCCCTGTCTCTGCCTTCCAAGGCTGGAATTACAGGCAAGCCAACAAGCCCACTCAGCAGCTACCTGGGTTTTGAGAATCTGAACTCAGGTCTTTGCGCTTGCCCGTTTCCCTAGCCCAAGACTTAATTAAGCTTTAATGTTTGATAAAAAAGCTGGCAATGGAGGATTCAGTGATGGAGGAAGGATGAAAGGAGGGAAAAAATGGGGGAGGGAGGGAGGGATTAGGGAGAGAGGATTAGAGAGGATTTAAAAAGATGAATGTAAGACTTCTGAACAAGGTGTTTGTAGGATTTGTAGAAGTGGGAGGGTCAGTCTTAGATGGGGGCAGTGGAGGCAAACTCTCTGTGGTAAGAGAACTAGGGTACAGAAACAAACAGGCCTATAGCTTTAGATTTAGGAAAGTGTGGTAACCTCCGTATGGCGGTTTTACTTGTGCTGTGAAATGGGAATTGTTGTCAGAACAGGAGAGTGTGAGAAGAAAACTTTCAACTCACCTGCCAAGCAGCTCTGTCAGATGCCTCAGAGGCATTCTACCGTCCAGATGAAGAAACCCAGAGAGGAGAGTGTCGTGCTCACCCGGTGTCAGCTTTAAAAGATGGCTGACTGTCTTCAGTTTGCTTTCTAGTCTGCGATAGAGATCGTGGCCAAGAGAAACTTAGGGAGGAAAGGACTTTTTCGATGTCATAGTACATCACCTAAGGAAGTCAGAGCAGCAGGTCACACAGGAACCTGAAGCCAGGGACTGAATCAGAGGCCATGGAGGCATGCTGTTTGTTAGCTTGCTCTCCACTCCTCGCTCAGCTCGCTTTCTTTGCCACCAGGGACCACCTGCCCAGACTGGTCCCATTGGGCTGAGCCTTTCTCTGTCAATCAGCAACCAAGAAAATGCCTTATATACTTACCTACAGGATGGAACCTCAGTAGAGGCTCGCTCCTCTTTCCACTGGACAAGTGGATGGTACTCTAACCACGGCAGTGAGGGGGAGACCCAGAGGAATGAGGGTGTTCAGAGCATCAGCACAAGTTTTGCAATAAAAGTTTAAACACCCTAAAGCAGATATACGGGCAGATGGAAAAGGGAGAGTCGGCAGACTGAAGAAGATTCAGGGGCTCACTGGCTAGGAGCATGGCTGTCACAAAGGTGGTGAAAACAGCAAGCTGAGAGACAAACATGTCAGAGTTAGGGACATAGAAGACAGGGAGGAGAAGGGCCCCAGTGGAAATAAACTGACTTCAGAAAACACTCTCGTTAGGAAGAATCTATCATATGCTGTAAAAGAAACACGACAGCTTTTTCCATGAATGTTGTTCTTAAGATACAAGAAGACGTTTTCCCCGAGATTAGAAAAATACCAGAATGAATTGCTTTATAATATATACGTGCCGTTCTGACGAGATGTCCAGCTCCCTGAGCTATCACATAGTCCCAAGGGTGAGGAGGCTCAATTCTGGAAGACTGGAAGATGAATGCCACCTGGGAGAGCGTTGCTCAGAGCCTCCTGAAGTGAAGCTTAGGAATAGTCTTAGCGATTAACTCACCGCTGTTGTGATGGCCGTTCTTGGTTATCAAACTTGACTGCATCTGGAATGAACTAAAACCCAAGGGACTGGGTACACCTGTGAGGAATTTTTCTTAAGTCATTTGAAGTGGGAGGACCCACCTTTCATCTGGATCTTTTGAGGTGGGAAGATTTGCCTTCAGCCTGGTCCACACCTTCTGCTGGCAGCCTATATGGAAGACAAGAAAGAAGGAAGCTACGCTCTTTGCCTGCTTGCCCTTGCTCTCACGGACAACTTCATTCTTTCCCTGGTGTTAGAGCCTACTTCTTTGGGGTTTTGATATATGCTGAAGGCCAACTGAGACACCCAGCCTTGTGGACTGAACAACCACTGGATTCTTACACCTTCTGTTGGTAAACAGCCCAGTGTTGAACCAGCTGGACCACAGCCTGTAAGCCAGGGGTTCTCAACCTGTGGGTCACCACTCTTCGGGAGTGGAATGACCCTTTTACAGGAGTCACCTAAGACCATCAGAAACCATAGATATTTGCATTACAATTCATAATAGTAGCAAAATTATGGTTATGAAGTAGCAACAAAAATAATTTTATAGCTGGGGTGTCACTACAACATGAGGAACTGTATTAAAGGGTCACAGCATTAGGAAGGTTGAGGACCATTGCTGTAAGCCACTCTAATAAATCCCATATATATTCTATCAGTTCTGTTCCTCTAGAGGACCCTGACTAATACAGGTCTACACTGCATAGTATTCCGAGGAGCCTCACAGTCCCCCTAAATGACACAGCATTTCCATCCACAGTCTCCAGGAGCCAAGAGAGCAGCTAGAAAACCCTGTGACCGAGAAGACAGTACTAAAACACTGACTTGTTTTAAATAGTTCTCCCTTCTCGTCCTTAAAAAAGAAAAAATAAAGGCATCAGTTTCCTAGCCATTGGGGAAAATATTGAGACTAATCAGGAGTGTAGTTTCCAGAGGTTAGGCCCTGATGGACATGCACTTCTGTGGGATTCTGGAACTCCCTGACGCTGATCCTCTCCTTGCGAATACTAGGTGATATTTGCTTTGCTACAGCAATAGGGACAGCCAGGAACCACTGTGGGTAACCTGGGACAGTTATCCCTAAAATAGTCCCATGATGGCCTTAGTAAAGCGATGACTTCTGTCATTGCAGGGGGGAGTCTGAGGAAGTTCACGATCCTTGACCTCTCCGGAGGTGTTTTCATCTCTAACATACGTCTCCAAGGTTACTTCTCTTTGAATTATGCTGGTTGAAGTGCGTCCTCCTTGTAGTCCTTCCCCAGGAAACCATATTCCTCTCCTTGAGTTCCCACGGCAGTTATTTCTCCTGTAAAGTGTGAGCTTGGGAGAGATCCTCGGTTTGAGATCATCGTTAGTCTTATTGCAGGCGTTCGATACCTAATTGAGCAGATTGATTCTGTCACTATCTCCGTTGGCCTGCAGTCCTGTCAGATCAATGTTATCTACAAGCCCGGAAGGGTTCCCTGTGTCCAGTGACAGAGCTGTGACCTCCTGTTTTAGTATGCCATTACTCTGTCTTCCTGAGAACCAACTGTACGCTGATTAAATGAACTCACCTTGGGTGGTGCCTTGGACCAGATGCAGCGAGAATGGGTTAGTAGACACATGAGCCTAATAAACGAAGCCCATTTTAAGTTAACCTCATAAGCTCTTTCAAACAATGTCTTTTCATGGAGAATTCTTAAGGTTACTGAAGAGATCATTGCCTTCTGTGGTGAATGCTGCTTCCTGTATTCCTCAGTGACCAAGGATCCATTTTAACAGTGAAGAATAAAGCAGAAATGGAGAATCATGCCTGCCTCAGAAAGAAACTATCAAATTTGCCATTTCATTTCCTTTGCGTGTCCTGGAAATGATGATGGACCAGCCAGGAAGTTCTAGCAGTATTACAGGACCATTCTGTTAGCTCTATAACACATAACAGTCTGCATAATGAAAAGGCTTATTCTAGGCCGTTCTTTTATTGAAGGTTACATATTTACCACAGAGGAAGAGTACTGACCATACGTGGCAGGGGTTCATGAGAAGAAGTGGTTGGTATTGGGGTTGTCAGAATAGTAGAGTTTCTTCAAACATACAGGCACTAGGAGAGGACTAGTTTGGAAGTAGGGAAAGAGAAGTGAATTACTTTTGGACTTAGGCTACTCACCATCCCGAAGAGGACCTGTATAATATAACAAGAAAGGAAGCTCAGGACTGCAGAATGGGGGTCCAGAAGACCTCCCAGAGATTAACAAACAAGTGCCAAGGCTGGGGTTTAAGAGTCAGTTTAACCAAGGCTGGGGTTTAAGAGTCAGGAGCTATGCTTGCTCTGGGGACGAGGGCAGCAGCCCGTCATAACTTGAAGCACTTTCGGTAACATCTCAGGCTTCTGCTGAGAAAGCCGCTGCCTTCAGCTAGCCAACTGTAGTAAACAAATTCCCAGACAGGAGCTTGAACTTCGCACAATGTGAAGCATTTGCTGACAAGAACTTTTGAGCCATCGCTGTGGTCTCTCTCGTTCTCTTATGGATAGGCTGTGGGGGAATTGTAAGCAGCAGAGGGTGTCTTCTGAGTGACTGTGTTTCACCGACACCCGTGACAGTCTCTCGCTTTGGACTTGTTAGTAGATGCGTGGCCAGTAATACTTAATGTCGTGGAATTGTTATCACCTGAAAACCTGTTTTACCCCGATGTGAATGCGTGCAGACTTGGGCTGGAACTGAGGCAAAGAAGAAGGAAGTCTAGTTAGTGTCCTGTTTATTCCTGCTCACCAGCATTTTATCACTGTGCCAGACGGCCCTGACTTTGTTTACATCTGGCTCAGGGGAAAATTCTTGCCATGGTAATTCCCAGCATTTCGAATACTGCCAAACTGGTAAATGTTTCTGAAACAAAACAAAACAAAAACAAAACCCAAACATGCTGAAATATCATTAGAAGTTTATCTAATGAAAAAAATTTTCAGAGTAAAGAATAAAAAAAAAATAAGAAGAGGAGATGATAGAGTGATTGCCTAGCAGTGAGGGGAAGAGGAGGAAGAGGGAGAAGAGGAAGAATGGGAGGAGGAAGGGGAAGAGGAAGGGGAGGAAGAGGAGGGGGAGTTAGGAGGGGGAGGAGGAGGGAGAAGAGGAGGCCTTGTTTATGTGTGCGGTTACTCACTAGCTCATTACTGTTTGTTGAGTACCTTATTTCGTGCCCTCAAGTACACACTGTCAAACCTCTTAGGAACAGCGCTTCTCTGAAAGGACAGCTGTAATAGAAGATTTCACCCCAGCCCCTGAACTGCTGTGTGATATTGAAACCCTGCTTCATGTCTCCGTCTCCCATCAGGTCTTGAGAGCCAACCGTGGCGTGGGCGAGGGCTGCCCTCAGAAGCTGGTGACCGCTGGTCTGCTGCGCTTCCTCCTGCTGGTGCTCATCCCCTGCATCTGCGCCCTCACGGTGCTGCTGGCCATCCTGCTGTCCTTTGTGGGTGAGTGATGCTCTCACGCAAAAGAAAGGAAGTCAAAATTACAACGAGCGTGGTTTTACACTCAGCCCTCACTTTACCGAAAGTGTCAAATCAGTGAGAGGATGGTCTCCGACTTCCCTGGGGGAAAACTTGCCGTTTCGGCCACGTAACAGTGTGACCTGCTATTGCTATTAATGCCAATGATGGTTATAATGGAAACAATTACTAGATGTGAACACCACAAAAACTGAGGGACAGCTAGACCTGTCATCTTCCATAAGTGCTCATGGCTGTGAGGAAAGAGTATCACGCAGGACACACACACAGGACACACAGGAGACAGAGGGATAGGGAAGACACTTTGATACAGTATACCACAGGGGAGCTAATTAACATCTGAACCTTTGCAGTGAGGTGAATAGAAATCCAGGTTGAGGGCAGTAGCAAGTGCAGGAGTCAAGTAACTCCAGGCCTTATAGAGGCAGATGTCAGAAACTGGGTAAAACATTGGCAGCATTGGAAAATGCAGCTAGATGGCTGCTATCCACATTCCAGCAGACTGTGTCTGTCACAGTGAGTGATCAGGGCTTTAGTATGTTGGTCACTGGTTTTCAAAGCTTTGAGGAGGAAGATCAGGCATCACATTGTGTCAGGATTGTCTTTGGCTCTGAAAATGGAGATCTTCAACACATACTCTAAATGCCACATCGGCAATCAGGTAATATGTGCTAAGGATTCCTTCATTTGTCCATCTCAGTGTAATGGACAACAAACAACCTAAGTTAGAAAGGCAGTCTCTTGGGAAAAGCCAACAACCTATCTTGATTGCTGTCCACTGCTGTTTCGAATCAGGCTCCTCCAAATGCATGTAATCAAATGAAACAGGATATAACCAGCAAGATAGGGGTGATCAAATTCCATCACTAAAGATTTAAACATTGCAATTTCATCAAAGCAGTCTATCATTTTCTCATAAATTAGCTTAAGAAAACCATACATTTAAAATTGACAAGGGAATTAATTCCAGTGAATATAAATGCCTATTTATTTGTGTATGTTAGGATCATAGGTGATATTTATTATAAAGTAATACTGTAATATCTTGGTATTCACAGAGTATTTATTCCAAGGCTTCCTAAAAAACCATAGTAGCGTACATCCCTTATATGAAATGATGGAGTATTTGTGTACAGCCTATGTACATCCTCTGGTTACTTAAAATCAACTCTAGGTCTCTCATAAGGCCTAATAAAATGTGAATGTAATGTTAGTAGTTGCTCTACTGTTTAGGGAATCATGAGAAGGAAATAAAGTCTGTAGATGTTCAGGGCAGATGCCTTTTCTTTTTGCCCCCAATGTTGTCCATTTGTAGTTAGTTGAATCTGCGGATATAGAGGAAGGATTGTTTGTTTGCTGTGAGAATGTTTGACACTCATTGTGATGGGCAGTGGGTTACGGTTGGAGGCTCTTTTCATGGAAGAGGAAATCTGATCGTGTTTCTGTTTGCAAACGATGGCAGAGTTAGATACTGGACTTGGCAGAAAGAAGTAAAGGAAGGGGGACTAGTTTAGGGTTCTGGCTCTGACCTAAATAAAGATTAACTCAAGTTTCAAATAAAGTCTTGGGTACATTAAAATAAGCAGAAATCAAGATGGATTGGATTTGAGGGTAAGAGAGTAAAAGAAATCAAGGCTGATTCACAGCTTTCTGGCTTGGGAGCCAGGTTATTTGAGGCCATGTGTTCAGGGAGAGCAGTATGATGCAGGCAGGTGGAGGGCTCATTGAAAGATCATTTTGTACATCAGGGATGCCAGGAGACAACTGAGTTCAGTGGAATCACAACCTCCATGCTTATGTCTTCTGTAAATTCAGGCTTGGCCGAGCAATCAAGGGATAAAAGAATTCCAACATGTTGTTTTCTTGGGGGAAATTTAAGGAGAAATTAAAGCTATATATGGTATTTGTTTTTTGGTTGCCTTTTGAATTTGCCTCCACCCCCTTTGCCCCAGGTCTGAAGCTGAGGCATCAGCAGGGATGCTGAGAAGGAGCCCCACTGTCTTGAAGGATGAAGGAGTATCAGGCATAACTGAAGAAGCAGGTGTTTGTGAAACATGAAGAGAAAATATATTAGTTGAAAGCCAAGGACAGAGATCAGATAAAGAAAAATGGGCATCAGGAGATAGAGGAAGGATGGACAGAGGAAGAAGGAAGGGATCTGGGAACTCTGAGTTTCTCCGATGCTGAGGAATTTGAGACAAGTATGTGGATAGAGAGTGGCCAAGCAGGAGAAGGACAGAGAAGGGCCTCATCCAGGAGGCTAGGAGGTTGACTAGTGGATTTATCAGCAGCCATTCCCTCTGTGGCGGGCTGCAGGTTAAGACCAGTCAATTGCTCTTAGCCTCATTACAAGATCAACTTCCAACAGACTTGCCCACCCTCCCTTCTCCAAAGCCCCTCTGTATTTGCTGCGTTTGCATTTTGTCCAGATTGGTAGTTCTCATCTCTGGGAACATCGGTCTCCGAGGCTCTTCCTTGGTCACGGCACCATCACTGTTAAAACTCTTTCTCATCATATGATGAATGGCTCACACACACTGAGGAATATTTCCTCTTATTCTCAAGGTCCCATGCTCATATAAATTTAAACACATGTTTAAGAGCCTCCATGCTCGGTAACTGTAGGAGAGGATGCTATTGAAGCATGGCTGGTTAGTTTTTGCTTCGTTTTTATTAGTTCTTTGAGAATTTTACACAATATATTTTAATCATATTCACCCTTCCCCTGACTCCTCTTAGGTCCACCCCTCCTTCCCTACCCATCCTAATTTATCTCCTCTCTCTTTTTTTTTTAAAAATACATATCAAGTCCAGTTTGTGTTGTGCATATAATCTTAGATCTGTGGCTTTCCACTGAAGCCTGGTGACTTACCAGGGGCTACAATCTTAAAGAAAACTGTCCCTCTCACAGCACTTATCTGTTGCTAATAGCTTCTTAGCTAGGGGTGGGACTTCATGGCCACCTCCACTTCCCGTGCTGGGATTCGGTCTAACTTGAAATTGCAGAGGTCTTTTGTATACTATCACAACTGTTGTGAGTCCATATGTGCAGATACTCTGTTGACGTATAGCCAGCATTTTGGGCTCTTTGTGAGCTTTTTGCTCACTCTTCACTTATGGTCTTTGAGAATGAATCAAAACGTCATCATTTTTGATGGCCAACTAATATTTCATTCTATGGATATTCCAATGTTTTTCCATTGACTAATAGATGGGCATTTGAATTACTTTCAGCTTTGGGCCTCTAATTTACCTGATATCCTGCTATGAATATTCATGTGTAAGTTTTTGGGGTTATAAACATTTTCATTTCTCTTAAGCCTACACCAGCAGTAGAATTTTGTATGCTTATGTGTGGCACTGTGGAGGCTATTAATTGGCACCCACCCTTAAATTATATCTTGCTTGTATGCTGGAAACTTTTACAAAGTAGGAATCTTCTGGCACATCTTCAGAAGCATTTTTCTATGTTCTGCACAGCATAATTTCATAGTGAAGCAATATCTTCCCTCCATAAACATTTCATATTTTATAACTGAGATGTACGCTGTTGTAATGCACACCACAGCCCCTTTATATCTTTGTTACTAAACTCTCATTAAATCCTGCTTACTTTAGAGACGTTCTAATTGTTGGGAGAGATAATTCCATGTTTTCCCAACTCTTGCTGTAGCTCATGTGTTCAGGTGGACTGCTCAGGGATACCGGGACACAGGTTGTACTATCTGTTTCCAGTCTTTCCCATTCTGACTCAGCTCATACCAGCATGGTAAAAAGACTTCTGAAGAGGAGAGTTGAACTTTGTAGCCAGTGTATTTGAGCAGCAACACACAGAGTCTCACACCACACTTAATAGAAGCTACTAAGGTGAAGGTTAGGTTTGTATCTCTAAGCTCTTCAGAAGCTTGAACTGTCCATATGGACCCCAAGATCTGGATGTAAAATAAAGAATGGGTTTTATTTTATTTTATTTTGCAGTACAGTTCAGTTCTACATATCAGTCACGGATTCCCTTGTTCTTCCCCCTCCGGTCCCCCTCCGGTCCCCCTCACCTTCCCCCCAGCCCACCCCCCCATTCCCACCTCCTCCAGAGCAAAGCCTCCCCTGCTGACTGAAATCAACCTGATAGACTCAGTCCAGGCAGGTCCAGTCCCCTCCTCCCAGGCCAAGCCAAGCGACCCTGCACAGGCCCCAGGTTTCAAACAGCCAACTCATGCAATGAGCACAGGACCCAGAAGATTGGGGTTTTTGAAAGAAACTGAAATGTAAGAAAGTTCATTATAGCTGGGATTTTGTTTCCTTGGTGATCGTGAAGTCCTGATGGGCCACATGACATAGAAGGAAGGATTACCTTTTGAGAGATGACGTCATTTGTTTAGAAGAACTAAAGGCAGAGCAGGGGAGACCCAGCAGTTAAGAACACAGGATGCCCTTTCACAGGACTTGAGTTTGGTTCCTGGCACCCATACCCGGCAGCTCATAACACCAGTAACTCTAGCTCCAGGGAGCTGGACACCCTCTTGAGGCCTCCTCATCACAGGGCACTACAGAATAACTGCCACGCAGCTCCACATTTCTTATATATCATTTTTTGGTGCTAGCCTAGCCTTTAACAAAGAGCTGAGCCATCTCTCCAGTCCACATCACCACATTTCATACGGGCTCTGCAAGGATACTCTGTGCTGCTCGGTCTGGTTAGAGCTCATACTTTACCTGGCACTGTTCTCTGCTGCTCTAGAGAGCTTGGTTCTGACAGGCTTTACTTTGGTGTCGTGGCTATAGACTCTCCTTTAGCTACATTTGACTGCTGAAAGAACCCTGGGTTGGCCAGACAGTCTCAACCACGTGTGTATTCTCCTGCAGGGGAGAAATGTACACAGTGGCCTTGGGAAGAGGTAACTAACCATCCCTAAGATAAGTTTAATCTTTTTACCTGTTTTGTGTTATCATGCATGTCATCTGAG